TAGTTTCTTTGACATGCAAAAATCCAGTAGCAAAAGTACATTTTTATTTGCAAGAGCCAGACAATTCATTTACTCTTCATTGCCATTTGCGTAACTTGTTAAAATCATTGCAGATAGCTCCTACCCTTCAGCACTTAACATTCACAGATCTTGAGGTGAGCGTATCTGGCTATCTTTACTTTACATACATTAAGCATAGAGATTATACTATTCTCACAGAAGCACATTGGGTACAACCCATGCACAGTAGCACTGCCAGTCCCAAATGATGGCCTGCATTGCACAACAAGTCATGTTAATGCACAGTCAACACACTGGCTTCTTCACCACTTTATTGCCATGCATCTGTGCAACCACACACACTCAACAGCCCATTAAGGAGCCCACCATTCCTTGATCTTTAGGATGCTGCACAGCTCAGCTGGCACGTTCATCACCAAACAGGTTGTTCGGAAGGAAGGAATGAGAGCTGGCTTCATCAAAGTGAAGCTTGTAGCTGCAACCTAGCAGCACTGCATCAGAGGAAATTCCAAACACAGTAACAATCGTTTCCCTTTTTTTTTTTTCCCCTGGAACAGCATCAAAAATATTTCACTTTCTGTTGCACAGGCTTCTGAGGTGTTTCCATAAATCTGTTTCCCATTGAGAAACTTTCCTGCACTTCTGCATATAACTATCCATCCTCTAACATTCAAGTCACATTTTGTCTTATTCTAGTGATGAATACAGAGAGGGCCCAGGAAAGAGACTACCCTCATTTTAAATTACTCCCTGTCATGGAGCTTCTTAGGCTCTGTCACATGTGCACAGGGCATCTACCTTGACATAATCTCCTCTAAAAGGACAACAGCAAAAAAGTTTGAACAACTGGTTTGGCCCTGGCGCACCATTTTTCAGTACCTTGAGGAACCTGGGAAAGAACAAAAGATTTCTTGTTCTTCTTTGACAAATACAACTTAAGGTCAATGGCTTAGATACCATAGTAGGCTTATGGATGTGGTTCTGAAGGATGTAAATGGCTTCTGCAGTTATCAGCAACCACTAAATCTAAGCTGTAGAAATCCTCTAAAACAGAGAGCGTTCCTGCACTGAAAGTATTCTAAGCACTAGAAATATATACATAGATATATATATAAAACTACAAATACCAGAAGAGTTTTGTCAGTCTTAAATTCTTCATTACACTGCAGTACAATATCTATGAAAAGGGGAAGTGTCACTATCAAGTCTATAGGTAGGAGGCAGGTAGGGAATATGGCTTTGAATTGCCTTGGTAGGGAGAGAATTGAACCTCTGCAATCACCCTGACCTAACCTTCACACTGTGCTATGAAAGGAGAGGAACATACAAGCTCTCCAAGAAGCACAGTCCTGCCAGGATGCCAGGAGCGCTCTGAGCATGCCAGGCATCTGCCCTCTCTGGGGACATGGCAAGCAGGAATAACTAACCCACTCCACCCATGGTGGGAGATAAGATGAAAATTGCTCAGAGGCAGTTCTGTACATGCACAGAAGCATAACTCATCATCTGGAGAGCTTTAGAATAACAGCTTAACACACCTACTGAGCCAGATTTAGGCAATGCCTGAAGAAAGGACATTTTAGATGCTAAATTGCAATTCCAAAGGCTTCTTGGTAGAGAGCCTCTGTGTTCGGTTGATGCCCCATAATAGGTATTTACCAAATATACATTGTAACTCCACACCAAACCACCAAAAATGAAGTTGCCCTCCAGTCAATTATCTTAGGGACACTTCAATAACATCAAAGACTAATAATATTTCCCAGGGATAGGTAGAAAGAATAATCAATGAACAAGTCTCATATGGGAATCATTTTACCATTTGGTGCAAAGAAAGAAGGTAGGTGCAGTCCTGCTGCACAGAGCAATACATCAATAGAAAAAGGATTTGTTCTTCCCATTTCCAAATTCCTTCGATCATCTTCTATTCAAACCACCTTATCCAATTACCTCCCTAGATCTAGGGCCCGAGTGATCCACAAAAGCAACAATGCATATTTAGGAGAGGAAAGGTAACCATTTATACCATCCTTCATAAGGAAATAAGCTTTGCTCAGCTAAGCTTATCTTTTTCCCCCAAAGCTTGCCACTCCTGTTTGCTCTGTGTAGTATATTTGCTGTGGCTTCATTGAAATTATTTAACTGTACAAACAAGTGACATCCTTGAAGCCATTTGGAGATCTTAAAGAGGAGAAAGCTTGGAGCCTGATTCATCATGAGTAGATAGATATTCAGCAGCTGAAGGCAAGAAAGGGGCTGCTGGGGAAATACTTAGAAATATATTATTAATATTCCTTTCCAAAAGTCAAGAAAGCCTGAGAAACAAGAAGAAAGTGAAAAGGAAACACAAGAGTTGCATACTAACAAATATAGTGGCATAGAAGAGAGAACAGATTTACAACATTCTTCCTCCTCTTAGTCATAGCACTTCCTAATTCACTTACTGTCAAAGGTAGCTAATGCTCAGACCACTTCTCAGGAAATCCTTTACTGCTGTTGCTCTCTAGCTAGAGAACTATGGTAGAAATCTCCCAGTCTGTACCACTAAGAAAAAGAGGAGGAAAAACCTCCCTATACCTGAACCATTATTCTCTCTTTACCTACTCACTGCAGTCTGGCTATGGCCTTTTATAACCCTGTTGACTGAGCTGAAGAGAAATCTCAGGTTTTTGTAGTTTGGGCATCATTTCCTTTTGCCTTTCCCAGCCTTGTGATAGGAAGAAGCTCACTTCCGATAGGATGGGCTGAGTAGCTGGGAATGTGAAATAACACAAAAGGAGGGTATAAAGGCAGAGAAACTTTGGAAATGTAAATCCAATGGGGTGTACAAGTCAAATAATATCAAGCTCACATTTATTTCAGCTGGAATTAAGCACTGAATTAAGCTATGAGCAGCTTGGCGTAGGATCGTTGCATAATAAAAGCTGCTTTATTCTCCAACACCCTTTGTTTAAATGAGCAGAACCTGATCCTAATAATTAGCAGTGATTTTTTCAGGTTTCTGTTGTCATGCCTTTCTTATGTAATTGTGGATGTCATCATTATAACTCTCCTTAGTTTTAGGAACACAGAACTATTCTAGGTATTAGTTAGATGGAATTTTCAAATTATATTCAAAGCATATTTTGCATAACAGTAGTTTTTAATCAAATCATCTGCAGTGATATCTGACAATTTATGTTTATTATTAGGAAATGACTGGAACAGTATAGTATCAACAGTATCAGCACTGTTATGTTGTAGACACATAAATTAAAAGCAAGGAGAATAAATGGAGACAGTCTTCATAAACAAAAGAAAATAAAAAGTCCAAACTTCTGCTTCTGCCAAGAGAGTTGACTTACATAGTCGATATTATTTGTTACCTAGAAGAAGACTTGTTGTCCATATAGAGTTGCTCGTCAATGGTTTGCAGCTGGTTCAATTTGTCCATGATGACACTTCGCTCTAAGATGTTTCACCTTCTCCTTCACGTGGTTTGTCCGCTGAAGGTTGGGGCACAGAGTTCTGGATGTGAATAGCACAGGAGGAGAACTACTTTTCTTCCATGTGGCCTTCACTCTTGTGGACAAATTTCTTATTTATTTAGCATAAGAGCCTAACAGTTTTAGGTCAGTCCAGTGAAAACAACACAATACAGCTATGGTCAAAATGGCTCAGCCTCCTCATAGTGGACTATTCAGCGGTAGGCTGTATTAGGAAATGTTATCACTGAATCATCATTCCTTTGCAAAAATCTGCAAGTTTAATCAGAGATCAAAAATTCTTTCTAAAAGAGGTATTTGTCTTTCAATCTAGAAACCATAAAGAGGTGCTATAGAGGAAAAATCCAGTGTTCTTGGAGTGCTGCTTTGCCTTCAACTAAGTGCTAAGCGCTACTGAAGATGAAGTTTGGGTTCACAAGACACTCAGGCTTTTTTGCATGCATTGCCCTAAGACTTTAATGTTAAAGAACTTCTTAGCTTGTGTACCTACATCAAAATTATACATCACACACACCTAGAACTACGTCTCATTACAGAAGCAGCATTTCATGTTAATGTTAAAGAACTTCTTAGCTTGTGTGCATTCATGTATCTTGCATTTCATGCATCTTACATGCTCTTTTTTTCACTCACAAGAACCTGACCAAGTAATGCAAAGTAAAGGCTTCACAGTTTTGAAAGAGGTTTCCTTTGGTAAAGAGTTCTCTACATAGAAGTTCTCTCTGCCTCTGGCCTCCTATTCAAAAGTATAATATCAGAAAAATTGTGAGATGCATCGTAGGAGAAAATAAATCAGACAGCACGCTCACTACTCAACTAAAATGTTTGTATATATAAAAATAAGACATTCTATACAACTTTTTGGACTGCCTTCAAAACAGCTATTATAGAGGTAAAATGTAGCATCTGGTTATGTGGCTCTCTGTGCAATCCATGAACAGTCCTAGTTCTAACACCTAAGTAAGTAGTTAGAACAAGTGGTGTACATATGGCCATTAGTGATGCCATCATACCCAAGATCTTCTTGTTCTTTGCCTGGTTATTTTATCCATTCTAAAATATCTCCTAAAAATTTACACATAGACCCTCAATGCACTCTTAATTTCTGCAGTTTGCTTTGCTGTGTTTTGTATTCACTGATCCACTGAGCCAAAACCTCTAAAAAATTCCTTTTAAACTGCTTCTACAGGGTAAGAGCCAGTCCAGCTTCAGCCCCTGATCAAGCCAACACAAAGCTACTCTTCCCACTTTTAAAGGCCCCATTCATCATATTTCCATGGCTTTAAAGGCTGAGCTTGAAAGCAATAAAAATAGAGATTTACAGTTCAGAACAAGGAAAAAAAAATGTGTCTTTAGCCCACTTTCTCCCCATTCTTCCTGAAATTTGCCCATCTCCCCAGTCACTTCACCAGAGGGCACAAATACTCTCTTGGTCTGTGCTGACCCATTGCAGAAGTCATGGGGTGAAGAGGGTCTCTCAAGAGCTACTGGTTTCTATCCATGCAGATAGGCTTCCAACCAATGTTCCCCAGAGTCCTTCAGGGAGCTGCAAGAACAGAGTTAAGAAAAAGATACTTATGGAGAGACAATATTCACCCACAGGAGAGGCAGAGATGTTTAGTAGGTTAGATGTGAAAATAATAGCTTAGAGCAGGGACAGTATACCTGTCCGAACAAAGAAGCTGACTTGGAATGGGGGTGAACATGGAAAAAAATCATTAAAGGCATCTCATAGACAGCAAAGTCTATGGAGAATGATTTGCAGGGATCATAGCTTGTCCTCTCTTTTCATAGCATGAAGGTGTCCAAGAAAGTGCAAAAAAATCTAAATAAATGTGATCTCTACCTGGATGTTGATTGGTAACAGCTGTTTATGTGCATGTCCCTGCCTTGCGAGCCGTTCCAGTGTAAAAGCACCTTGTTAGCTGATACTTACTTTAAAATATCCCTGAAGGCTGTGAGTAAAGTCTTGCTTTTATACTCAATGCCATGCTTCTCACAAAGGGCTTTCACCAAAGGAGCTGCTTTCCGGTAGTTGTGTCGAGGCATCGTGGGGAAAAGGCTGCAAGATTGACCGAGAGGGAGGTGTTGGGTTGCACCATCCATTGCTGTCTATTTGGAATATTTCCCTACCCTTCCCATAGTTTCACAATGAGACCAAAAGGTCTCCTGACGAATCTCATCTTTTGCCAGACCACCAGGGCGTTCTCACCTAAAAGTGCCCCATATTTTTCCCACTCTTCTCCCCATACCCATACTCACTGGTGCTCTATTTGGAAGTTCAAGTGCCCAGTGAACCAGTCATTGAACATGGATTGGTTCACATTGCACGTTGCATGAACCTGGGAGGGAAAAAAAAAAAAAAGGACAGAAGTAACTTTAGCTTTTTTTGCTATTTTTTCCCCCTCTGGAAGCTTGGATAACTGAAACTCAGCATTTCATCTCCACCTTTCTGTAGCTGAAAAGGCAATTTAGGACCAGGGATTATAGCCATAATTGGAAGAATTAAACAAAAACTAGATTGAACTGAATCTATCTTATCTGCAGTAAACTTGTGAAAAGCTGTACAGCAAAAAAGTCAAGGTATCCAGTCACCATTTGCTTCTCCTTTGCCAGGCTAAAGAGAAGACTGAATACATTTCATATATATTCATAATATTATTCCAGAAAAAAAAAAGCATCAAAAACTATTGGTAAAAGAATAGTGTGTTTTTTTTCAAACCTTGATATTGTGTTTTCTAACTAAAAGCTTAAAAGGTATCAGCTACTAAAGAAATACATGCCCATTTGGTAACTGGCAAGAACAAATCTCGCTAATGCAGCTTTAAAGATCAGAGAAGAATAACATTTACTTTGTCCTATAATTCAGAAGAGGAGACTCATAGCTCCTAGAGTAAAGGGGATTCTCACCTGCGTGGATACCCAGTCTTCATTCTTATCATAATCAATGTCCATTGGAATGTGGTTCATCTGCGAGACCCAAATAAACCAGGTACTCTCTAGGTACCTGGGCAGATAAACACAGACACACACTCATCATATCTCCAATCCCATCCAAACTCACCATTCAGACAGATACTGTGGAAGTTACTAAGGCCCCAAAGAGCAATTTTGCCCAGCATCCTGTAAGTCTTATCTTATGTAACAGCAGTTCTACATCGCTCAGGATTCTCTGTTCCATTTCTTTGCATTTTAGCTTTTGGAGTGTCTTTCTAGCATCACTGAGTTTGTAGTAGCAGATGTCCCTTAGCAGCCTCCCAGAAGTGACAACATTTCTTCTCAGCTAACTATTTACTCCTAAGAAAATTGAAATTTCATTTATTTTCATTTATCCCCACTGAAGCTGAATATTGTGTACAAAAAGCAGTTGCGGGATCTCTGGGTGTGCTGCACGTTACCTGGACAGCCAGTAGTACACCATGAAATTGTTAAATCCCATTAAAGGAATATACATGAGAGAGACTCGGATGTTGAAAAATGTAATCAAAAACAGTTCCTGAAAAAAAAAAAAAGAAAAAAAGAGATGATAAGAAAAATCCCAGATTCACCTCAGGTGAGGGAGAAGCACACAGTGGCTACATTTTTGGGAAAATTCAAAACAGTACAAATGATACTTACCAACCACTTTTTCTTCTTGATTGTGAAGTAGAATATAGACACCTGGAAGAAGGGTATAAGTGCAGCTGGAGCCAATACTGAAGGAAAGAATGAGAACACAGACATTATAATTTTGCTGCATCATAGCCTTATCAAATATCAGGAGAGCAATTAGTTAAGTGCTGAAAGCTTCCTCATTGCAACAGAAGAGGCAGAGAAAAAATGCTCTTCCAGAGAAAAATACCACCTTCCATTTACACTAGGTGTCATGTGTCCTCCTAACCAGTTCCCCTTCTCATCTGATCCCCCTTCCTTTCTTCATTTCCTCCCCATCTTTTTCTTCCTGGCACCCAATTCACCTCTGTCCAGTGCCTAACGTCACATCATCCCAAGAGAGACACATGGGGCAATTCCTCCTCCTGTGAAGCTTCCTTAATGCTGCCCTTGTCCCTCAAGCTGTGACATCCATGGGAACCTCTTGACAACCATCGTCTTGGGGAGGAGATGCAGTAGTAATTATTGGCTGGGATCCCCACAGCTCTGCAAGGAAGGAGGGGATACTCACTGCTGAAATATCTATGCTGATAATTGTAAGGCATGAACTTCTTCTTCTTTTTGCCAAGCTGAAAAGTAAAAGGACATCATAATGTTCCAGCTGGTGAACGGAGACCCTTCATAGGGCGTTTCTTACTCCTGTCTTAAGAACACATCAAGAACTATCTCCCTTATCCTTCTTGAAATCCACCGAACCACTGAAATCCACCTTGGTCATATACAGGGTGTCTGATTCCTCTCTGGTATAATGCAGAAAGAGATAACTAAATTCCTGCACCCCCAGCTCTATCCAACCCAATCCAACACAGAAATAGTCACCAACTTTAGCTACGGTGTGTTCATGCTGATGTATTGCTATATGTTAGATGCTAAGATCATCAGCTGAAACCTTCCCAAATGCAGCTAACAGTTTCCTATGAATAAGCATTTTGCATCCACTCTCTTTACAGGAATATTTCTGAGAGAGCAGAGCTGGGATTTCCCACATGCTTTGTAGCATTGCAGTTTTTTTGCTGATTATCAGCCTAAAGGAGAGAGATGTTGTTTTGAAGAAACTGCTTGCTAAATAAGAGGTCATTTCGTCACCCTGTGAGTATACAGAATTGCTACAGAAAGAGAAGGCAGAAGAAAACCTCATCTATCCTAACTGTCTGAAATCACAGTGATTAGGAGGCTGTGCCCATGCTTTTTGTTTTTGTGAAAGACAAAAAAAAATGGCACTTAAGTAGTAAATTTGCTAGGCTTGTATTTAGCACCTAGCAGCTGTATTACTCCTAAAGGATTTAGCTACCCAACAGCTCCTATCACCAAAAGGACTTAGGAAACATCTGACTCACTGTCTACAATATTGCTAATAACATTTAACACTAGTGCAAGTGGACTGACTCATTCTCTGAAGGCTTTTGAGGTGCTTACCATACTCTTCTATCAACACAGGGAATGCAGGTGCTTATTTTAAGACCTTGCTTCTCTGGACTTGCTGCCAGTGTATCATCTTAACGAGGTCTGAGCTAGTTGCTTAAGTCATCTTGAAATGCCTTGAAATGGACCTCAACATAATGTCTCCAACTTGGGCTGCACTTATTGGTGCATGACACAAGAGACTTCGCAGAGTGAGAAGTTCACAGTTTCACAGAGTGAAAGACTTTTCACAGAGTGAAACCCCTGATGGTCCTTGAGACACTCAGATCTTATTGCACTCTGGAAAATAGAGTGAGTTTTTGCAGGAAGGACAGATTATTACATCCCACTCCATAGCTTTCTGGCTTTAAATTCTTCTACGCCAGTGTCTCTCTCTGCTTCTCCAAACATGCCTATACTCACCTCCATAGAGAGTGTCTTCCCCAAGCTGAAGAGGAGAGGGTGCATGTTGAGATCGGGGTCTTTGCGGAAGCAGTTGGGCTTGGCATGGTGCTGGTTGTGCAGGTGATTCCACCAACACGCAGGTAACCCCTGTGGGACCAACCAAAGATCAAGGATTCAAGCTAGAAACACGTCAATATCTCTATTTATCCATTTATTAACAACAGCTACGCTATCCTCTCCCCACAGATGATGATTGACTGAAACTACCGACACTCCCATTCTTTGCACTGTCCGTATTATTCTCAGAGAATATTCCCACAACATGGCAATTACCTTCATAACATTTATCACAACAATCTGCATTAATCGATTCCATTTAGGCTTTCTGAAGACAGAGCAGTGTCCTAAATCATGCTGGAACCAGCCCATCTGGATCTGGAGAACAAGAGGATTGCTGAGAAAACAGAATGGCAGCAGTTATTTTTATTTTCCCCCGGGAGCCTCTGGACCTTCACAATGTGAGAACTGTGAGAGGAGAGGAGAGGAAGGCCTGTTTGGAATATCTGTCTCAGGGAATAATGAGTTACTCTGCATTGGGTTAGAGGCTGAGCAAACCCAGTGTTACAGCACTCTGAAGAAAGTCTTGCTTTCTTTCTCTCCTCGCTCTCCATTCTCCGTTCAGTCTTTAAGCCCTCTCTCCCAGGGACCACAAAGTCCTGATTCCTCTTTTCCCAGACTCTGACGTCTGCCACACCCTTCTATGAATAGATTTGCTTTACTAATCCAGCAGAAAACTACTGAGAATTAGTGAGAGGAATTGGCTTGTAAAGGACTCAGCATCAGAGCCATCAGGAAGTAACCAGAAAGAACTTGGAGCCAGAAGAGGAGTTCAGAATTCCCTCTTTTGGCTGATCGAATAAGTGATTAGATCAATTCTTCCTGTCTTGTGAAACTGCCAGCGCTCTAATTCCCAGCACTCCTCCAACCATAACGAGCAGCTTGTCAGCAAAACTAGACTTGCTGGAGGCAGTAGAAATTGTGAAGGAGAACATGCTTGTTGTCTTCAGCCAAGTCTACAAGGACCTAAGAGAAGGCGGTAAAGCAATGACAAGGGTAGCAACACTTCATTAATCCGCTCCATGCGGAAGCACCGAACACATCTGTGTTGTTGAAGGGGTGTCAGCAGTTTACCTGAGCAATGGTGAAGAGTGCAATGCCAGCAAAGAAAGGCACGGAGGATATTCCAAAGTACCAGACTACAAGCCAGGATGAAGCATCCAATATCAGGAGGTGAAGGAAAATCAGGAAGAAAAAGATATAATCTGGTTTCAGAAGTCCCTTCTTCTCAAGATCACAGCGCAGCTCACGGAAATCCTCTAAAAGTGATTCCTGTGGGCAAAGTGAGTATTAAAGCACTGTCTACTTTGAAAATGTAACAGAGCAGACGCAGGAATCCCAGAGGGTCTGTGAATGCTGGTGGAGTTATTCTGTAAACCTTCCATCAGAGGGGTCTCTGTGCAAGAAGTGCAAGGTCAACAGAGCTTGCTTAGCTCTGACACTGGAGAAGAAGGTGCCAGCATGCCCTGTGCCTGAGACATCGCAGTGGGAAGACCTGAACAGACTCTGGGGCTTGTTCCCCAAACCAGGTACCGCTTTGGCTGTTCTGGGAGAGCATATACTGTCATACGTGGCCGCTGCCGGCAGCATTCCCACCACCCAGCCTATGACACAGGGTCAGGCGTGCTGTTTCAGAAGAGAGATCTGTGAGCCCTCTTGCTTGGTTCTCCTCCCACGTGGAGCCCCGCTCCACTCCCAAGGCTGGATTCGAGGTTACTCACTTTTTTATTAGACTCCAAGCTGGGTTGGTCTGGCGCCAGCTCCCCAATCTCTAGAGATTTCAAGTACTTTTTCACCAGAGCCTTATCATTGTGAAAGGCTACAAAGGCATCCTGAGGAATACGCAAAGAAATGGTGTAAGGAAGGTAAGGAAGGGTCTGTGTCCAAATGCCAGGTGCTCAACCCCTCCATTTTCCAGGTCATTGACATAATATGTGATCCCAATTCCTCCAGTCCAGAGATTTTTAGATGTTTGTTCCTCTTACTTGCTCATGTAGCCCTTTGCCATCAGCTGGAGATAGCCCAAGGAAGCTGGAGATGTTTCAAGAAACCAGATGTCATAAAAGTACCTGGGCGAGGCCGATAATAAACTTGAAAGTATTTGATGAAAAGCTCCTTGCTGAGGAAAGCTTGCTCTTTCATCTGTTGGTTTCAGCACAGTCCTTCCTTAGAAAGCTGCAGCCAACAGCCCTGCCCTATGGATGGGACCCAGGAGTAGGAAAACTGGTCTGTGAATGAGTGTGTCTCTGCCTCACTTACTTAGAAAAAAACAAGGATGCCTTTAAAATCCTGCTTTTATTACACTAGGCAAATGTGTGCTGAAGCTCCATACACAGCAGGGTTAACACAGCTGGGCATCTCCTACAGTTCCCTGGCAGTCTTAGGAATGACTGTCCTAAAAACGATTTTCTGTGTAATACTAGTGACACAAACAGGTCTGTTTAGTCGCCATTTACAGCACCACTTTTGAAAGGAGATCTGAAGCGTGGCATCAAGCAGACAGGAAAACCAAAGCTCTTGCTTTGCCCATCTGCTCAGTGAATTCTCCAGAAGGAAGACCATGAGGTTAACTATCCTTGTGCTGTCTGGCATCAGAAAAACACAAGCTTTTCAGTCCTACAACCTGTCCTTTCTTGCATCCTGATTACCACCTTCTGAGGGATTAACCTTAAATTGAAGATTAACATCTGCAAAGCACCTCACCTTTAATATCAGTGTAATGCTCTGCAATGCATATTTTCTATATTTGCAAAATAAAGCACATAGAGGAAAGCTGAGAATATGCAGAAAAAAAAAAGTCTTGAAACTTGGCTTTTGGCAAAGACGTGTACCAGATCACCTCTTCAGACGCCTTCCAGTCCTGCTTTTCTATGAAAGTGTGTATTTCTCAAAATGGACAGCAGGATAAGAAAAATTAAATGTGAAAACAACCTATCTGACCCATTGGGGTCCATGATTCAGATAATGCTAGTCCATGTTACAAACTGAAAATTGAGGACTCGCAGAGATAGTTTCACATGTGAAGGCAAAAAGTCTGCCATGACAAGAATTAAACTAAGGTCTCCCATTTCACAACCCTAGAGCCTAATCCTGGCCAGATTCCTAATGCACGTATTTCTGACTGAAAATTCAATATCAGCTTCCGGCGACTAATCTGTGAGATCTGATTAAAATGTATTATTTCTGTCAACAACAAACTATTTTAAAGAAAACCTCTATATCAAGAAATTTTGCAGGAATCTCCAGAAAATCCTCTTTTGAATAACAACTATTTGTAGACTTTTCTCCTCATCTTCTGTTGAAATAACCTCTTTGCTCAACTGTCTTCTCCTTCACTCCCCTTGCTTTATCTTTGCTTTCTTTTTCATGTCACTGATGGCATCTATGTCACTCTGAAAGAGCAGCCTTACAGAGGCAGTTCACACCATGGGTACCACCTTCTACCTCTTTCCTTTCTCCCAGCTGCAACGCACATACTTTTGAGGTATCTGGAAGGCAACCAGCCTCATCATGCCTGGTGGTGAGACAACCGGAATGGATGGGGTCTGTTAGCATCAGGGTGTAATGAACCTAAGGCAGAGCTTTAAGGTTAGCCTAGCAGGTAGGTCTGACCTCAAGGGGATGCAGAAAGGCATCCTCAGAGACAGCACAGACCTATCCGCTACAATATCTGACCAAACAGAGCCAGAAGCTCCAGCACCACACGTTTTCTCTGCTGGAGCCCCACCATGTCCTTCCACCCTGATATTGGACCACCTTCTTCAAGCGACTTCCCAGATCTTACCGTAGCATCTTGCCCAGCATAGTGGCTAATAACTCGTCGTCCTCCAGGGTGCCGATCGGAAAACTCGCTGACGTCGTAAACTTTCCTGTTGATCACCAGCCACTGCTCCCGACCTTGGCCACGACCATTGTGGATCCTGATCTCTTCCCAAGTGAAAAGCCGTGGAAAGGCTGCGAGAGGCTGCGTCTCCTTCTTGGTGGAGCCCGTCTGCGGAGCCATCCGCGCTGCCAGAGGCACGTTCAGCGCCGAGCGGCACCGGCCCAAGCTTCGCAGCACCCTTGTCTGGGTAGAGGGTGAACCATGTCCACCTGCCCGTTATACAGCCCCGCTCCCGGCCACTCCCTGTGCTCCCAGGGCTGGTTGGCTCCCTTCATCCAAACACACCCTTCCTGAGCTCCCTCCTCTCCTGTGTTCACACCAGGCACTTCGGCACGCCCTGGGATATAAGCCCTGTTCCTTCTTGCCCCTTTTGAGCCTCCTTTGGAAGGTCTGATCGCGCGTGTAGGCTACATACCAAATTCAAACGTGCACATATACAAAGGACTTAAAAATATGCAGGGGGCTGATATCCAGGTAAATGAGATGCTAAAATGACAGAGAGAGCTATTCAGCGAGCACCTCCAAAGACCATTAGGAGCTGGATAAGGTAAGCTGGGAACTTGTCACCAAAACGCTGAATGAACATGGGTGTTAGCCAGAAGGGAGATCTGAGCAGGGCTCTGCGCGTCCCTCGTGAAAGAAAGACACGGTGAACTTGTCAGAAACCTGAAGCGCTGCCAGCATCCTGTCATCACTTGTTCACGTTGGGGAAGCCTGCATCTACCACACGTCGGAGCTCCATCGTGTTGCACCCAAAGTGAGCCAAAGAGCCAAAGTGAGCACCCAAAGAGCCAAAGTGAGACGGCTGCAAGGGCTCCTGTGTGGAAAGCCTGGAGCTGCTGTCGGGTGTTTGCTAACATCTCACATCTAACTGCAGCGCCTCACGGTCTGCAGGCAAATTCATTGCTAGCACCCTGGAAAGAGCAGGCTGCTCCAAAGCCTCCAAAAGTCTTGTCCCACTCATGCTTCAGGATGTCTTTGGAATTTGCCGTGTTGCCAAAATGACCCTGCCAAGATAAATTCACGCATCCCTCTTAACTAAAAGCATCATCAATCAGAATAGCACTGGATCCCAGTGAAATCAAGGAAAACGCTAGTTTTCCCCAGTTAGTTTAGCTTGCATATTGGCAATCCTTTGCATAGGACTGCTTTCAGAGTTTCCTTTGTGTAGCCTGGTATTTAATCATCTCATTCACAGTCAAGTAATTCATTTGTAAGGCAACAGACATTAAAAAACTGTGAGGTTAAGAATAAATACCTGAAAACACTTAGTATGCATGCGGATTAGGAGTTTCTAAAACTGTGCTTAATGAAAATGCTTACATGAATAGCCTTACTTAAATAGCAGTCCTATTGAGTCAAAAAATAATCATCTCCAGCATTTAGAGAGTATCCAGCATACGGCAAAGTATTAATTCCAAGTTCCAATAAATAGCAAAGAGAAGTTAATGACATGTTGTTTGCCCCACACTAATTAGCCCTGGGAACATAAAGCAATTTTGCAGGTGACAGAGAAGAATTAAACCCACATATACCAAAATAATACCCTACATCTTTGAATTCAAGATTCCTTAATCTAGTGTTATTTTTCTTTGAAATCACCAGCCTTGGGTGCTTTTGAGGAAGGTACACGCAGTAGGCAGATGTGGAACATTCTGCCCTCATTAGATTAGGGATTTTAATCTTATTCTTTTACTGGGCAATACTGATTCAAGAAAAAAAAATTGCTACTTTCTTTCCTCAAAACTTTTTAAAATGGACCAGTGCTTGTAACCATAAATATTGTTTACTACAGTGCTCAGTTCCTGTCTGAATCCTGACAAGTTATAGGTCTCTACTAAGACGGGCTACTCCATAGAATAATTCCTCCCAATTTTCCCTCTCATCTGACAGTTTGATCTGTCAGCTACAGCCTACAAGGTCTAAGTTAGACAAGCGTGAACTCCTATTTCCCTTCCGTTTCCCACTACTATGCACGAAACCTGGAGTAACACAGAATTCAGAGCACAGACACCTGCCTTTGCCCAAGTCCTGCATGGAGCAGGCAAGTAGAGAAACTCCAACACGAAATTCTGTCTCTGGCTGACAGAGAAGGGTAAATTGTGCAATTTCAAAGACTTTAAATCATGTAGCATCTTGCAAATGAATCAGTCAAGCCCAAAACAACAACTTAAAGTTCCTGACAGTGTGGCAATGGTTGAACCACCCTAGGTAACAGAGAAAAGTAGCTAGGGATATTCATCAGAGGGCAGGAATAAAACGTGGGAGGAATAAAGTCTTTTATGCTCTCAGGTTGCGGTTTTTAACCATTTACCTTACTCTAAATAAAAGTTAGTGATGTGCCTTTTGTGTTCAGATTCTGGAATGGAATATATCTAAAGTAGTAGTTGGTCTTGCATTAAGCTTGTTGAATAGCTTAGGGGGTGGTAACAAAATGGACAATAACTATGGCAAATTTCTGCATAGAATTTGTTGGTACTTGTAAAAAAAACAGGTATTCTGCAGCTGTGGTGGGTGCCATAATCATGACTTTTGCTGCCAACATATGGTGGGTGTCTGTATGCACCAAACCAGTGTTATTACCTAGGCGAATAAGTTTGGGAGCTTTAAGATAGCTGTCCTCCACACTACCCAGTTTCACAACATCCTAATTTCATGTCGGGATTTATTCAGCATCAGATACCATCCAGAAGGCCCTGTAATAATACATCTCTACATTACTTTCCATCCAAAGTTGAAGGGAGAGGGCGTCTCTGTCTGCACTATGCAGGTCACCAAGCGAATTCCAGAGTTGCTTGAAGAAGCCACCAAGACTCTGTTTACCCAGAACTATTGAGAAAACATTTATAGTGAATTTATCCCATACTTAGGATTCTGCAACAGCTGCCCACACATTGGCAACTACCTAGGGAGCTAGTGCACGTACATGGCGCTACTCTACATTGCTGCATTTGTGAGGAAGAGTCTTCCCGCAATAGCCACTTGACATAGGTTGTAGGATTTCCAGAAAGCCGGGACTACCCAACTGGGAGATCCACTATTGCAATAAGTTTTCCATCCAGCAGTTCCTCCAGATGTTTGCAGCTCTCACTTAACCGGTGGTGGTAACCCAACACAGCACAGAGCGGTCCTAGCTCCAGAAAAGGACTCCAGGTCATTCTCCTTCAAGGCTCTCCCATTGCACTATTACACATCACACTTCAAAAACAACGAGAAAAATAAAATCAATAAAAGTCCAAAACAACGAAAAAAATAAAATCAATAAAAGTCCTTCCTCTCCAGCATGAAAAGTGCCATGAAAGTTCAGGGAGGACAAGGGAACCTTCTGCGACATCTCCTGAAACTTTTGCAGACTGGCAATTTTTTTTCTTATGCAACAGTTGGAGAAAAAAAAA